AACATCATTAACATCGAATTAAACCTCAAAATCAAACAATTATCTCGACTTCTTAAAACATCCGTTTTAGCAATTTAGGTTCGAATCATGTCAAATGACATCCGTTTTTCACCAAATTTCACAGAAACATCTTAAATCATATATAAGACCTGTACCGAGTACCGGAACCAAAATACGGGCCCGATACCATCATGTTTTAATCAAATTTCTTTTCAAATTCCTTTAAACAATTTCAGAAATAATTTTCTTTAAAAAATTCATTTCTCGGGCTTGGGACCTCGAAATTCGATTCCGGGCATACGCCCATGTCCCATATTTTCCTACGGACCCTCCGGGACCGTCAAATCACGGGTCCGGGTCCGTTTACCCAAAACGTTGACCGAAGTCAAATTAATTCATTTTATAGTCAAAACTTATCATTTTTCACAGATTTTCACATATAGGCTTTCCGGCTATACGCCCGGACTGCGCACGCATATGGAGGTGATGCTAAAAGAGGATTTTAAGGCCTTAGAACTCAGAATTTCATTTTAAAATAAGTGAGGGTCATCACAATATCCTAGCTCTATGCTTGTATTGATATGTCTAAACTTTCGAAGGAAATATCATTATATATTTTATATTTTCTTTTTTATCTGAACAGAAACTAAGTGAAAATAAAAATATTAATTGCTATTAATTTATTAATTATTTATATTATTATAAAAGGATGAATACAATGTTGGTAGATCAAAATAACCCTAAAATATTAGTTGACTTTTTACATTATTTATGTATAAAAACGTAAAAGAACTCATTAATTGTAGAGTTCAAGTCAAATTGATACATAGATACAAGTAAAATAAAAAAAATTCGTTCAACTTTACAAAGTTTTGAAAGCCGACTCATATGTTTTGTTATTAATCAATTGCAACAGTAAAAAAATTGGACTTATTATATATGGAAAAAAAGAATAATTTTTCCCCAACTTTTCAAGTAGGAGTATAAAATAACTCTTGCGATTGTTTTTGGTAGTAATTTTTAAAACCTTTTTTATTTTTTTTTATTTTTTATTGTGTAACTTGATTTCGACTTCCGAGAGTACTGTACAATATTTTAGATGGTTAGCTTTATTTGGATAGTACGGGTCTTTTGAATATTAATGTATTAGCATTTAATTTTTTATTTCATTTAGTTATATATTTATGATAAATGTTCTAAACATCTATTTTAGACATTTTTCAATCATGAATATGCTTATTTTTTATTTTACTTTTTATATTTTTGTATGCACTTACTATATTACTCTTAATTAAATAATATGTGATTCGTACTATAGATTTGCATAAATTATTGAGGAAAACTTTTGTTTATATAATTTGCCAAAGTACACAACTAACTAACTTGGCGATTTTTTTAACTTTCTTAAAAGTAAGAAAATTCATCAATTAATAAATTTCCGTCTACTCACTCTTCTTTTTCTTTTTCTTTTTCTTTTTCTTGCAGTTTCGGATTAATATTTTGTTGTACGCTTCGACTATAAGTGATCTCCTCATAATTTACGTGGCAAAGACAAAGACATGCTCAATATTAGTTTCAAAGTTTTGAAGAGGAAAAAAATATGAATTACTTAGGCCCGAAAACGAATAGAAAATGGCAAATGAAAAATAAAAAAAGTAGCACTGTATGTCATACGTTATGTAAACTGATGTTTATGCCCTTTAAAAGCTAAATCATATATTTCTTCTAGAAAATAATTTTGCCGTTGGATGGATCATAATGTATAAAACTTTAGCCACTATGAAATTCAACCAAAAATAACTATTCACTAATAATATAATAAAATAGTTATGATGCAAATAATGAACAACCACATTGATTATTTTGAGAGGAAAAAAAAGAACACGAGGTACATGAGTGATAACCGATATTTGGACATACTAAGCTATTTCAAGCACGAGCATGTACACTTATGGATGAGACACACGACTAAAGTTTAATTAACCAGAATTGGAGTTGAATTCAGAGATTACATTATTATCTATTGACGTTTTATCTTGTATTATTCGTTATTAATATATCTTAATCTAAATAAATATGACTTCTATGTACCTGAATTATTAAGACTTAACTAAATTAAAGTAAATCATCCAATCACAAAAACACTATTAGGTATTATTGCATTCTTTAAGTGATTTACAACTATAATTGCATAATTATGTCATTTTAGAATGTTTATTACTTTTGAAAAATATTTGGTAATCGATATATTATTATATTATTATTATAAAAGCATGGATACAATGTTGGTTTACCAATACAGCCTTGAAATATTAAATATAATAACTCTGAAGGAAAGTTCATAATTGGAATTCCAGCGACGGCCCTCTAATCCTATTAGTCGTAGGAAACACACATGAATACATCCAGTTGTTCCTAAACCTAATACCAATTCCTCCTAGGAACACGTTATATTTTCTAAAAATTCATATATTTGACAACCTCTAATTATATTGTCTGAATCCAAAACTAATACCAATACCTCCAGCGTCGTCCCTCTAATCCTATTAGTCGTAGGAAACATACATGAATCCATTCCCACTACAAATTTAATAATTTGAAAACTTATTATATTATCTGAATCAATTAGAAAAAAGGATTTAAACACTTCTATAAAAGAAGTCACTATTCTTTATTCTCCATGATAAACTTTTTGACAAGTATATTACTCCATAACAAAATTTTGCATCAAAAGGTATTATTTCTTCCACTTCGCTTATATTTAGGTGTTTTCCACTTGGCTTAACTATTATATTATTTAATTGGTACTCCTAATTCGCATCATTTATAGGTCCTTTGGATTTTTTCAAGATACACGTGTTTTTAGTTTTGTCCTAAAATAGTTAATGATTTTGGTATAAAGTTTAAGTATTGATTCCTCTGAACAGGAACATAAGCATCAATGGTTAAGTGTCAGTCAATCGAAATAGTTAACAAGAGCTTTGGAGGTATAATGAACATTTATGAATCATTTGGTGAAAAGTAATGAGATTTGGAGGTAATTTTCATCAAGTGTTACAAGTAGTTCCAAAATCGACGAGGACGAAGACTGTAGATATACGTTTGGTAAAAAACATACTTCTAGCATCAACTAAAAAAGATTCAACCAACAATATATACAAGAGCTAGAATAAATCCAACATTCATGACAAACATGGAAGAGCGTATAAGAGATTTGGTCTTCTTCCAAAATAATTGGTCGTCAATTCCAACAGTTATGGTAGTGCTAGATTTTTTAATAATTTTCATCATTAAATAAAAATGTAAGTTCCGCAAAATACATTATGGCAACAACTACAATAACTACAAAAATAAATATGTCAATCAACAAGATGGGATATCAATTGTCAAATTATTATGTGAAAGTAAAATCCTTCTTATTTTGACTCCATAAAAGATGATAGTAATACATACTAAAATATTTTAACACAAAATGACTTTTCGCCACACGTTTGTTGTCATGTTATTTATATGTATTTATTATATATTTAAAGGTTAAAAGCTTCTTTTCATTAAACGAATGCACACCAAAGTCTTTCTTACCCACTTTGTTTATATAGATAATTAAAATGCAACAGTGATAATAAAACATACTCCTATATGGTATGAGTTAACTAAAAAGTGATATTTTATCAAATATAAATTGCATGAAATTAACAGTATTTATTATTAATCGTGACTATTGTATTGTACTTAATTACTTTACCTTTTTTTATTTATTAAATCTTTCTCTTTTTAGTTGGGCTGTTACTTGTGAAACACGTACATAGAAACTAGTGATTTTAAAAGTCTGTAAGAAGTCTACGAATAAAAAAATTAGGTCTACCTTTTAAAATTCTCATTGAATTCTAATTTCAAACAATTAGTTGAAGGGTACTTAGTTCTTACGGGAATAAATTAATAAAGATATCTATTTGGTTCAAAGTCCCAAAATTGTTTTGAAGTTGGCTAAAAGTTAATGTTCGAAATCGTATAGCCGGTTTGGCCAAGCTGCAAAAATCAGCTTATTTTGAGAAGTGCTTTTCTCAAAAGTACTTTTGGTGAGAAGCAGTTTGTGTTTGGCTAATTAGTTTGAAAAGCACTTCTGAGCAGCAATTAGTGTTTGGCCAAGCTTTAAAAAACTGCTTCTAAGTGTATTTTTCTCAAAAGTGCTTCTCAAAAAAGTACTTTTGGAGAGAATCTACTTTTTCTGCTTCTCCAAAACTGCATCTGCTTCTCCCCAAAAGCACTTTTTTTCCTTCCAAAAGCTTGGCCAAACACCTCAATTTTTGGCCAAAAGTGCTTTTAGCAACAAAAAAAAGTACTTTTGGCCAAAAAGAAGCTTGGCCAAACAGGCTAGTAGTTTTGCAAAACTCAGAGTTCTAGTGTAATCATATTACTAAAATTTACATGTAATTACAGTTTTATCTGATATAAACTTATTTGTACTTTAATTTTTGAAGGACATAAAAGTTGATCAATATTTTGAGGATATTTTGGTCATTCAACATTTAGCATTTTAATATTCGTGCTTTTATAATAGATAGATAGATAGATATTGATATAGATAGATTACTAAAACTTGCTATCTTAAACAAACTGTAACATTTATAAAATAAAATTTAAATTAAAGTTTCTAAATATAAAGGATATCATTCTTTTTTAAACAAATTAAGAAGAAACGGGAACATAAAATGAAACTAATGGAATAACAATTAGTACAAATTAGTACCTTAATCCAATGGACCCGAATATTGAATTCTAGCCACTCTTAGCCGTGCCAATAAGTTATGTTGCTAATAGATTTTCTTTTCCCACTTCTCTTGTAGCTTTCGTGTTCCTAATTCCTTGCTATTACAGGCTATGCTATTTGTTACTATTATCTTATTTTCTTGTCATTATTACTGTAACCTCTCTTCCTTCACGAGGGAGGTAGGGATAAAGTCTGCGTACACAGTATACTCCCCCAGACGCCACTGTGATTGCACTAACGTGTACATTTAGAATTCCTTTTGTAATATTATTACAAAGAATAACAAACAGTTCTCCATCTAAATAAGGAGAAGCCAATAAATAAAGCACTAAGGTGCTACTTCGTAAACACTAAAGAGGAAAATAGGAGCAACAGATTTAGGAAGCATTACATTGCATATTCATGCCACTATTGCATCTTGTACAGATTTATGATAATATATATGCACTTTCCCTAAGCTACAAAAATCTGGCCAATATTTCATGGTACACAACGAGGCTGAGGTCCAAGGATAGCAAAAGATCCACTGGTTGGCCAAACACGTTGAAGTCGCATCTCATATCTAGCTGATGACAACATGCCGCCACTGATGATGCAAAGTTAAATGATACCGATCCAAGTTTGGCAATCAACCAAGCTTTCAGTTCTTCCAGCAAGATTGACCCAATTATCTGGGTAGATAAACTGTTCCAGGCAGTCTATGGAGAACTAAGACCCTATTCCCTGCGGGCTTTCTTCTTCAGTTTATCCTGCGCACGGTACCTTTCTCGTCTCTCTTCTCTCTGTCGCTTCTTTGAGAGTTGCTCTTCCTTGATCCTTTCTGCTTCAAGTGCTTTCTTTTTCTCTCCTTCTTTGAGCTTGCGCTTTTTCATCTGCAAAATGCATTTAAAACAATGGGAAACATACACCTCATATCCAACAAACACCTCAGACACCTCATTTTGACTGACAGTAAAAATTTACATAGCAGAGGGGCTAAGAGAACTGTCACTTATGGACGAATTACCCAAATAACTCTTTAAGAGCCCATAGCTGGTATTAATTGACAAGTGACCACACAACCTACACACCCACAAAAGCACTAGTAGTAAAACCGAGCGTTCACTGCTCCGGTTGGAGGGAACATACCTTCTCATGCTGAATGAGTCTAAGATGTTGAATATTAGCAAGAACTTTACGCTCATGAGGTTCCATCACCACAGCCCTCCGACCTTCCAATGGTGGTCGCTTCCGAGCTGGAGTATCCTTGGGCTTAGAGGCAAAGGGGAGATCTTTCTGTAATGCTTTGGGAATTACCAAGGGGTTGAACTTTTTCAGCTTTCGTTCAATTGGCTGTGGCACCAAACAACAAGAAAAACAGAGAGGCATCTGTCAGCAGGAAAAAACGCAACACAAAGACTTTGAATGTAATTAAGAAGTTATTAACAACGCCTGAAATAACTTGTTTCACCTTATATAATGAATCCTTGTTGAAAGGCACTGGCAGATTATGTTCTCTCCTTAATTCAGCAACTGTTTTCATTCCTTGCCAAGTTTTGTCGCGAGGCTGTAATGCTGTTGTCAACGGATTGTAGAAGCTAGGAACTTCAACTTGAGTCCAAGCACGCAAGAAAACAATGTCACTCATGAGGATCTTATCCTCAAATGTGCATCTAGCAATGCCTTCTTTGGCATTACCACCCTTCTTCTTGGGTTGGTTACCGATCTCTTCTTTAGCAGCCTAAGATTAACAACAACAGCGCAAGTAGGGAAAAGATTCAGGCAACAAGAGTAAACCCACCCCTAAATACGAAGAACTACTCCAACTACATCTCCACAACTTTTTGTGCTGGAATCACTTTGCAACATGTGCAACTTTTAGATATGGCACCCTAATCATCATCCTCCAAACAATGTGGCAAATACTGTTAAGAAAATACCAGGTCTATGCTAGAATTTACAAGGACCACAAACTAATGCTCCATGGAGCCCATGGGTATCGAGAGAAGAGAGTCCAGAACAAACCTCGAATAAAAAGCAGAGCAGGTAACCATGGATGAAGT